GAATGCTGGTACTATAGTTCAGATCCTGGCTCTACCATTTAGTAACTGTGTGACTCTGGGCAGGTCACCCAAACTCTCTCATGCTCTCGAAAATTACCTTCCCTGTCCTACAGTGTAACAGGAAATTTGAATAGGTTTTCAGTGCCAAGATACCCTGTGGAGTAAAATTTCCCAGAAAAGCTGGATTATCTGCCTCTGGCCTCCAACTGAAGATGCAGAGAAGTCCAATTGCTCCCTGTTTCATGCTGCTACAGATACTTGCAAGATACATCTGTTATACTAGCTTTACATTAGGTTACAACAATCTGTTTCCATTTCTTTCCTCTATTGGACTGGGAGCTTCTAGAGGCAACCACAGTGCCCACACACTTAGGAACGGTGCGTCTGCAGAACCATGTCACTCTTCCCTTCTGGCTGAATAACAAAGCAACTGCCATGCAAAGGAAGGGACGGTTCACTTTTGAAGGCACAGAGATGCCCAAGGCAGAAATGGCAGAAGAAAGAGCAAACCCTTGAAGGCGCTGTGGGTAACCGCAGCCTCTGTCCTGTCACAGCACACCTGTAGCTCTTCTGTCCTCCCTTTACAGGGTCAGTGATGCTGGCAGAGACACACCCAGGGTCACATGCCTTCCTCATGCCACCCCACAGGAGAAGGGAATGTGACCCTGTGGGGTTCTTCTCTGCCTGCTAAATTGCTACCCTGATGAATGTCCTCCAGACACTGAGGGTTATCATATGAGAGCTGTCTATAACAGTCCCCAGGATAGTGACATTAAAAAAAGATTTTCTGGGGCTTCCCTGGTGGCGCAGTGGTTAAGAATCCGCCTGCCAATGCAGGGGACACAGGTTTAAGCCCTGGTCCGGGAAGATCCCACATGCCGCGCAGCAACTAAACCTGTGCACCACAACTACTGAGCCTGTGCTCTAGAGCCCGCAAGCCACAACTACTGAGCCTACATGCCACAACTACTGAAGCTGGCGCGCCTAGGCCCGTGCTCCGCAACAAGAGAAGCCACCACAATAAGAAGCCAGCCCACCACAACAAACAGTAGCCCCCACTCCCTGCAACTAGAGAAAGCCCACACGCAGCAACAAACACCCAACGCAGCCAAAAATAAATAAATAACTTTATAAAAGAAAGATTTTAAGGTTAGAAACTTACCTCCATGATGTTGGTTACTTGTCTCGATCTACAGAAAAGAAAATGGAGAAAGAAAAAGAGAAACAGTTAAGTTTCACTTTTGAAATACTATGTACTAACAAATGTCTAAAACTGTTATAAATAAAGCTGGCAGAAGAGCCCACTGTCCCTCACCGTGAGTGCCTCGTTAAGAAAAACCCAGCAGGTCCCCACCTTGCCTACTAGCCTTAGATCCCAAGCCAGCCAGGGAACTGAAGGAGTCTAGGATTGGAGGGCACTACCATAGCAGGACTTACAGACAAGACCGGTGCCTGCCTGAGACTCTCCTTGGTCCTGAGTATCCCTGAGGCTATCAGGAAGGCCCAAGGAAGCCAGTAGGGAAGAATCATTGGGAGCGCCTGTGCACTTGTGGAAGTGCTGCTACTGCTCCCTGCTCTCACTACAGGGAAACCACTGTCTCCGTGACCACGCTGTGCAGAGATCTCTCAGAAGGTGCCACTAATCAGAGCTTTAATAACATTCCCTGATAATCCCAGTATGCAGATGTTCTTATATCAAGGCAGCTTTATGCTGTGGCTATGTTCAGATACAACTGTCAGCAGCTAAGGAAGGAACTTGAAAACTTACCCCACTTAACTCTCTTGGGCTCTCTGAGAGTAACGTGTTTCACGCGGCAGCTGTACTGATCCACTGCGTTGGGAGTGAACTCAGCGTGGACCAGAAGGTAGAAAGACCAGTCCTTGCTGAAAGACAGGTCTGATTGCTCCACTGCCATCTTCTCCCCATTCTTCAGCAACTCAATCTCAATCTGGGGTGGATGGAACCCAGACACATAGCAGTTCAGGTAATTTGGTTTTCCATTCTCTGCGGGGTGTCGTGAGTAAACCTGAACCTTCGGAGGACCTGAGGAGCAGCAGGGGAAGACAGATGAAATTGCAGAGTATTTCGCTTGGGGCTACCTTGGTCTAAAGCTAGATCAGGCCCCAAGTGTTTATATTTGATCCTCCATTTCTCCCA